ATCATCTTCGTTATAGAACGGAAGAGAACGCAGTGGAATGTAATCACTATCAATTACGGTTATTGAGGGATTCGCAAAATGACAAGGTCGACAATCAAAGAAAGTATGAAATGGCTGTTGACAAAAATTGCCACGGTGGCATTTTTTCCGATTCCCATTTAAAGCAAGAATTTACAATTCATTAGTTTTTCTATTAAGTTCGGGATGCCCATAAGCAGTAAACACTTGAAAGGATTGTTCCAGGGACAGCGACTAACAAAGGAAGCTCTGGTCATATAAGGCTTCAGTGATGGTTGAGAAAGAAGCAAGATAATTATTTTATAGTAAACTATGACAAGTGAACGAACTGCTACGTGAGCTCTCGGAAGAGGAGAGGGTTTTAAAGTTTAAACTTAATGATACGTCCAGTTCTAGAAGATATCTAGGAAGACCCATGTCCTTCGACTACTAAGGAAGAAACAACTGCATGCTATTTGTTGAGCGATGAATTAATTCGGAACATGGTGAATTTACGCAGATTACAGGTTCTAACGGTAAATACCGATGTAGACTCTGAAGAAATGGCGATCATAAAGAAACGTTGCAAAGATGATCGATAATTGTGTCAACTTGCAGAACAACAAGGAAAGAAAGTACGTTTACAACTAACTTATCGAAATACTCTTGCGTAGATAATAATAGTGAATGGTCCGGAAACTGTTTTTTCTTTCTTCTAAAAAGAACTCGAAATACTCTGACAAGAGTGAAGAACTTAGCGAGCAAAAAGCGTTCACTTGACTGATGTGAGAAAACTCCGATAAGTTATCGCACGATCAAACATTGTCTTAGGTGTAACTACAGACTTTGATAACTGGTAGCGATATTTGCACCTATTTGAACTTTACTTCTCCCTTTTCTCTTTCAGAATCGAATTTTGTAGAAATGACGACAAAAAATGTTTTTTAACTGGAGATCACTTCATCATTTACTTGTATTTTTCATTATTTTTTGGTTTCATGTCGGGAATTCCGCCGCCAACAGGAATTGCTACTAATAATTACAACATTCTAAATTACAACAATGTGCTTTTTTATGCGTTTTTGCTATTTGTATAGATAGTAACTCAGGCAGAAAGAAGTGAGATAAAGTTTGTTTTGTTCGACAGTTTCATGTATATTTCATGGTTATTTCTGTAATCGCACATTGCATGCACCAAAATAAGTAAATGAATATACAACCGTAGATAGCTCACATGCAAGAGTATCTAGAGGTAATCAACCATTTCAATTAATGAACCGATTCCATCTTGCAATCGTTACTTCTATAAATTCGACTAAAAATGTAGTAATTTTCAAAAACAAACAGCGCAGATATGCTGCTGGTAGCTTCCTATGAAACAACTGTAGCCTTGGATCTTTTTTTGGATCTCTCATACGGATAGTCATTTCTGATCAGAGACTATTATCAAGAAATAGATATACCTAGAATTTTATTTTTGGGAACTATCCCACCTCGTTGTAACAAATTCTATACAGTTTTTGTTGTACCTTCATCCTTTTACAGATCAAGATAAAGCGAGAATGAGTTGTCAAAGCGAAATCGTGAAAACTGCAAAACTATGACCTTCCTTTCGCGCTTATCTCGTAATCGCCTTCAAGGCTCTTATCAACACAAAGTAAATTTTGAACTTGTTTCACTATCAAAGTCATTAAAAAGAACTATGGCACAAGTCTGCCTCTTATTTTTCTATTTCATCCATATTAATAAAGAGCCGTGAGAGCTAGTAACCTTTGATAAACAAACTTATTTACTTCTCTTTTGCTAAATTAAGTAGTTATTTTTCAAATTAACATGATGTGATGTTGCAATTACATAAACGAAGATTTTATTTGAGTTGTAGATGCCTTGAAACAAAACTGATCAATGAAACTTTTTTGTAGTTGTTATTTTTTTGTTCTCATTCTTGAAAAGGAGCGAGCTGGGTTTCCGTCAGCGGGTAAAGCCAGTCAACAAAAGCGGGGATTAAAAAAAGAATAGCGTGTGCTTACTGAATCATTCGAAAACAAAGAAAAACGATTGAAAAAAGTAGAGCTGATGCAGATAATGAAATGATTCGAAAGTGCAGTTAATTAAGATATTCCTTTATATAAAAAACGAAAAAGTTCAATGTAAAAAAACTTCTCAATTCCGCGAAGAAAAACCACACAATCCCACTCTTCCCCTTTACATCCACCCGCTTTCCCAATTTGAATCGCCCCTCACTCTACCTGCTAAGGGAATCACTGGCTCTACAATCCACTGGGAATCGAAAATGATATGAATTAAGCCTTTCGAATCTCTTAACTTTATCAGTTCTTCGAGAATCTCAAGGGTTTAGGGGTAAAAGATTGACGAAGTGATTGAAA